TGGGGGCAATATGCTGACTCTGTAAACCGCTTAGAGAGGCCTGAAAGGCCTATGAAGCGGTATATAAGTCTACTGTTATTGCTATTATATTGCTACCACACCTTGTTTTTGCCAGCAGGGTGCTGCAGGAGGTGATCTAGGCTGAAAACGGCCCTCGAAGAAATCCAGTTTCTTCATGACCTAAACTTTCTGCTTTCAAAAATTCAGGAATCTCTCTCTGTCCTTTCCTGACCACTGAGATAACAATGTCAGCTCTTCAGGGCAATGTAACATGAAGAATATTCATAGATCTCTCAGCATCTTAGAAGACAGAAGCAGAATGTTTATAATATGACTAAAGGTTTTAAATTTACAAATATCATCAGGAATCGACTTCATAACTGTATGTTTTTGGTGGAGTCCCAAAGAAAGCGAAGTAGCTGGAGGAACCAAAGGAATGGCTTGCCACAAGGTAGTGTATTGGTTCCAACTCTTCTTAATATTTACATCAATGATCAGCCACTTGCCAAAGGTACTAACAATTATGTGTGTGCTGACGATCGAGCAAAAATGGCTTATTTACCATGTTTAGATGTTGTTTGACATGAGAAGGGCAGTAAATAAATTTCATAATAAATAAATACCATATTTTTCAGAGTGTAAGATGCACCTTTCCTCTCCTAAAAGAGGGTGAAAATTTGGGTGCGTCTTATACATTGAATGTAGCCCCACCCACCCACTGGCCCCCACGCTTTGGCCTCTGCCTTCCAGCATTTTACCTCCTTGCAGCAAATGGGGAAAATGGGGCTTGCGGAGACTGCAATAGGTTATAGCAATCCCTGCAGCCTGAAACAGCTGATGATCAGGGGCCCATGCTAAAATTAAAAGTGAAACTTGCTGTTTGCTCCAGGAAGCAAATTGCTGGAAGGCAGAGGCAGATTTTTTTTTTTGTGCTAATCAGGCGGTTTGCTATTTGCTGCAAGGAGGTAAGTCAATAACTATAAATGCCTATAGAATCTTCAAATTATTAGAGTTATTTTTAAAGACTGCTTTATTATTGTTCTAGGCAGCTTAACAAAATGAAGAAGCTTTTTTAAATAAATGTTTGATCTGAAGTACTATTATATCTTCTTTTAAATAGCAGAAAATAACTATACTTCCAGAAAGCCACATCAATTTTAACAGCATCTGTGTAAGTATAGTTGGAAATGTAACACCACAAACAGTGTATATTGTCTATACTGTTGCTGTTTGTTGCAAGGAGGCAAATTGCTGGGAAGCAGAGGCAGATATTTTTCCCTTGTTTTCCTCCCCAAAAGCTAGGTGCGTCTTATACCTCGGAGCAGCTTATACTCCAAAAAATATGGTAAATGCAACATCCCTTTGAAGGAGCTTAGTTGGGAGAACAGCCCTGGTCTAAGTTCACCCCGGAGACTTCCTTTTGCATTTTTAAAATTTTTGGGACTAATAGTGCTGAAATGTATATTTGAGTGCGCTCAAAGACACTTGGTCCTTTTATTATAATTCATTGGTTTTACACAGTTTCTCAAATTACGATTGGATCAACATCTTAGTTTTCAAAATGTAGTGGAGTGACTCACCTTCCACAGTGGGTAGCCTTCATACATATGGAAGCGGCCTTGCATCACCACAGTCGGCATCCCACTCAAATTTCCAAAAACCAACTTGCCAGCATGGCCTACGACTTTAATAAGACAAGGAAAGGAAAGTTAAACACTTTGCTGATGCCCCCCCTGGTGGTCAATATATTGCACTGCACTTTATCTATATAGTATCCTGTTGGTTTACGGTCCGT